GTGGAGATTAAAATCAATTTTTTAGTAAATTTTGATAAAAGTTAAACAGTTATGGATTCTATGAAATATGTTATTAAAATTAATTGTTAACTTTGATTTAGATTAAAATTTAGATTTCAATCGATACCAAACATTTGACACAACTTCTGTTTTTTGTAGAAAAACTTTTTTTTGGGAAGCTATGTTAAGCTAGCTTTCTCTAAAAAAATTTCTAGCAGACAGAACACATTCAAAAAATTATTTAAATACGTTTAAAAGTGGTTATTCGTTTTAAAAGGAACTTTTGACTTTACAAAAACCTATCAAATCGGCCTAATATTACATAAAAAATTTCAAAATCTTGGCAACTTCGATGATCACGTGAAATTGAAGTTTTTTTTTTTTTTTTTTAGCTAACAATGTGAGGATGCAGTTAACCTTAAGACCAGACCATCCTGTCACAGGCATCCCACATAGTCAAAACCTTTGGAGATTAGTCTCTTGGCCTTATCCTGTAGTAAGGGATTTTAATAAATGCACCAGAAAAGAAAACGTTTTTGAAGTAGAGAGTTCCAAAATAAATTAGTTAAAAATGTTTTAGAGTAATAGCGACTTTCTTGTAAATAGATAGTTGGTTCTCGACTCTAAATTTATTAAGAACGATCTAAACTTCTTGTGATTTTTGCTTTAAAAGTTAAGCCCATGGATCATCTATTTCTAGCTAATATTACGAACTAAACGGGGACGGATTTGGCGGGGGACTGGACCGGTATTCAATTTTTTAGAATTTTTTTTTTTAACGTATTAGCTCGATTTGTAATCATTTCCTGGATCCATCCCTGGAACTAAACATGTCTTTCTACAGTCGAGAATTTTGGAACTTTATAAGCATAAAGCATGAACATATTACAAACTATATTCCCAACCTTTACAGTTGTTTATTTACAGGCATCCTCCACTTTTGGTTACTTTTTCTCATCTCCAAGTGGGTTCTTCTTTTTCATCAAATGTCTTGAAAAAAA